GGTTAATAGTTCTGCTTAGTTTTTGTTCTGAATACTCACAAGATTACCCATTCTGATCACCTGAAAGTGTTTTTTTCTATTTTTAGAAACAACCCAATTTATTCTCTTAAACTCTAGAGGTCAAAAGTCTGAAATGGGTCTCGCTGGGCTAAAATCAAGGTGCTAGCAGGGCTGCACTCCTTCTGAAAGCTTTAGGGGAAGAATCTGTTCCCTTGCCTTTTCCAGTTTCTGGACGTCACCTGCATTCCTTGTTCATGGATCCTTCCTCTGTATGCAAAGCAAGAAACGGAGCATCTTCAACTCTTTCTCTGATCATTACTCTCCTGCCTCCCTCTCTGACTTACAAGGACCCTTGCGAAGGCATCAGGTCCACCAGAAAATCCACACACCAGAAAGGTCCCTGCAGCCACGTAAGGGGAGCTATTCTCAGGGGCCGGTGACGAGGACATGGGCCTCTTCAGCATGTGTTATTCTGCTTATCACAGGCGCCACTGGTCAGGAGGCAACGATTGGATTTACCCTTTGATCTACCCAAGGGAGTGTGGGGAAAGAAGCAGACTCTCTCCTCTGTTTCCATCTTCCATTTCCCCTATTCCCTCTTCCCTTGCGTTTCTCAGCATCAGGGGTAAGTCTCTTGCCCTGCTCCGTTTTCCTCAACTTGAAAGTTTTCTGCATATTGGAAGTCTATGATCAGACTTGCACAAGAAATGAAATGAACAGTAACAGCTGGCCAGGACTGGTGTGAGTGCTGTCAGGACAAGTTAGCTCTCCTTTCATGTAAAAATACCCAAGGGCAGGGCTCCCCATCAGTGTCACAGAAAAGGTGACATGACCGCTCTGTTTTCATGACCTTGGACAGCGCAGTGGCCTGAAGGACATGGTAGTAAAAACTGAGTAACCACGGGAGAAGCTATCAGGACGGAGAGAGAGCACCTTTCACCTTCCCAGGGCAGAGACTGCAGCTTCTTTTTAAAAACTGCTTCTTAAACATCTGAGCTGCCTTCTTAAAGTCCTCCTTAAAAACCCCATTCACTTTGTTAGGAAAACGAAGGAGGAAAGATGGGAGGCAGCAGGGCCTAGATTCCAAGGAGGATTCTTCCCGTACCTCTGTGAGCACAGGGCTATGAAATGACAACTGTGTTCCGTGAGGAATGACGCAATTATTCACTTTGGTTTCAGTTTTCTTATGAGTAAAAAGTTAGGAGCCTGGATAGAGGGTTTCTATGCTTATGAGTTTCCCTGTTTTGTGAATCTGGTTCTAAATAGTTCCCCCGGGCTCCCCCTGCAGAACAGTGATTTCTCCATTCTTAAGCAACTTTTCTAGATGAAGGACTCTTTGATTGCCCGTTAGTAGTTGGGGTCCATCCTGTCTTATCTTGGGCCACCTGTGATAGTCCAAGAATGTCAGTTTGCCATGTGGTTGCTGATTCAACTTTAAAGCTTGTAGAACTACTTGGAAAAGAACCAACCTTTGGGGTTTTTCCTGTATAGCTTTGTAGCAAGTATGAATGACTTTACAAGTAATTATGTCATCATTTCCTTCTCTCATTTCTTTTTAAAAAAACTGTTCTGATTATAAATTACTACATGTTCATTGTTGAAAACATGGGGAATACAGAAAATTGTAGTCTACGGTATTTAATACACAAATAATAATTGTTAGTAATCCCACCACTCAGAGATAACTGCTGTTAAAGTTTGATATATTCCATTCTGGGATTTTTTATACATTCATATGTATACTTATTTTTAACAAAATTGGGATATACTATATACTTTTTATTTCTTTTTTAAAAACTTATTGTCGTAGCATGAAAAATGTTCCATGTAATTATTCTGTCAAAAATATGGTATAATGGCCTTTCAAAGGAGATGGAGATGGGAGAAGGAGGACTGATCCTCTAAACATGGTCTATATTATGGAGTCATGCGTGCATGAATTTAACTTATTTTGCTGATTTTAAATCTGTCCCTACTCCCACACCCAACCCCAGTAAAAATGGGGCTGACTCCTCTTGAGAGGAAAGTTTCTCTGTGGGATCACAAAAGGAAATGCCAGTTTGAAGCAGAGGCCAGGTTCTTCTCCATTACTTCTCAAACACAGTAGTATGTGTGTCTGATCAAGCAAGATTTAGCTTCATATACAAAGATTCCTGAATACCCACCAAGTGTCAGACCCCATTCTAGGAGCTTCACATGTATCTTATTTCACCCGCTGTGGTGGAAATGAAGCCACATTTAAGTGACTACACAAATCAGGTTTGAGCTTCCATCCTGACTGTGAGACGTCCACTCACCATTCTCTGAGCTCTCCTTTCCTTAGACAATAAGACACCCTCAAAGGGCTTACGTCATCCAAATGAGTCGGTTTTGTTTAACATTTCTGCTGCGCAGAAAAGAAATTGAGGAGTCTGATGTGACTGCCTAGGTTCCAACTTCTGCTCTGGTGAGGCTGATGCAGAAAACAGGAAGTCTGGCTCTTGGGTCCCAGGGCTGAAGGCCTCCCCACTGAGACAGTGCTGCACAGACCAGGGGCGTAACCCAGGGTAGCAATGGCTATTCCACGCCACAGGAGACTGGGTTCCCAGTACAACTCTACTGACAGATACTTTTATTTACAGATAATCTATTTCTCTTAAGGAACCTCAAGGTCCAAGGAGGTGGATCAGGACAGGGTGCAGCATCGTTACTCTGTTCCTGACTGACCTTCCCCTAAGACAAGAGAGGCCCTGAGGCTGGGCCTGTTGTACCAGCCTAGCTCTCTCACTCCATCAACACCACCACCATCACCACCATCACGGAGATGTTCTTCTTGAGGGCCATTTTGTACATTTCTGACCACTTATCTTACTTAGGACCATCCCAATACCTCAGAAGTGTTAGAATGACTTGAAATCCCATAGGGAAAGTGTCAGGATTTCTGATTTACCAGGGAAATCCTTGGTCTCTTTGCGTATTTGCCCACCTCCTCTCCAAACTTTACATTCACTAGTGGGCTGATGATAAGACAAAGCCCCCAACCTTAGCCAAGCTGACAAAGAGCTATTCAGCTCAACTGCTCTAGGTCCGGAGGCCCACTTGCCTTAGAGCCACACACCTAAAAGAGGTATAAATAATATCAATTATATTCATGACATAAAAGCTACAGCATTTGGCAGTCTAAAAGCCAGGTATGATTCCCAGGTCTCTGACTTTGCTGATTGGACAGGTGATGTCATTGGTTGAAATGGGGATTTCTGGAGGGAACTGGTATATGTTCCGGACATTTAAAATGATGTAGTGGTTTTGTAAAATACTCATGGGGAAGTTCTGTGTGTCAAGTTCAAGAGAAGCGCAAGAGCTTTCGATTTGGGAGTGATGGGTATACTAGTGGTCGTTGGTCACAAGCATGGATGTGACTGACTGGGGAGAGGAGGGGGCTGAGAAGGAACCTGAGGAACAGGACCACTGGAGAAGCAAGCTCACAGAGGAAACTGAGGAGCTCTCAGGGTAACAGAAAGATCAAGTTGTGTCATGGAACCCAAAGGGAGAAAACATTTCAAGAAGGATGAACTTGTTCAATAGAATCCAAGGCAGCAGAGGTCAAAAAAGACAAGGGTTGAAGTCAGGTTATGAATTTCTCAGCTAGATAAGACCTATCCAGGTCTGTTTTGGAATATTTTTGACCAAGGTCATATGATCAGATTGCATTCTGTTTCAACAATTTGTGCTTGGAGTTGTACAATTAAACTCGTCTGAGCACAGTATGGACAATCACCTACTAAATAGTCATTGCTTAGTATAACTAAGGTCTTTCCATGACATCCTACTTTGCTGATAGTATCAGAAGCTTAAAAGCCACTTTTCTTCTTGAAACTAACAAAATCTAGCAGCTACTCCATTCTGTTTTGGTTTTGCCACTTGAATATGGCACTGCCCAATACAGGACACATTCTTTTGAGATGAGTATGTCTATTCAAGTGTCCGGTGATGACTCAATTCTCCCCCACTTTTTACAGAACTACTATGAAAACATTTTGAAGCATGATGTGACATCCTTTGGTCTTCATTTGGCTTGGGCATTTATATATTTAGTCCACTTCTTTTCTCTTTATCCTGACATTTTGTAAAGTACTTCTACTTGGAGCCAATATGATCATAAACAGAAATACAAACACAAGTGTCAGTATTTGACTATAAGACAATTCAGAATAGGCTTATGTTACAATTTGTAAGTCATTAAACTGAAAACATAAAATTTCAAAATCCTCCTGGAGACCCCTGCCCCGGAAAATACAGCTTTTGATCCCTGTTTTCCCATGTATGCATTCCTCTTCGTTACAAGAAGTAGCAAACCCAGCTGTTCATCTTCAGGTGTGTTGCCGGTGGACTCCCTGGAGAGCTTGTATCCCACCTTTGCTCCAGGGCTACGGCTGTATGTGCACCTCGAGTGTTTCATTACAGCAATCCTGTAAGATTGTTACTCCTACTTGACAGATAAACGGAGGTTCATAGGGACGAAATAATTTGCCCAAGGTTACACCAACAGGAAGAGCCAGTGACCAGTCCAGACCCCGGCGAACTCTGTCAAGAGCACTCTCTCTCCGGCACCTTCCATGGGCCTCCCCACCCTGTCCCCGTCTTCTGCGTTTCTCGGGGCACCTGCTCAGCCCACCGGCGTGCTACAGGGAGCTGCACTCTAAAACGTTACTTCTGCAACAAATCTCCCGTGTACTTCTGTGAAAAACGATATTCCGACCCAGGAACGCTCTCTAACCGCAGAGTCCTTGAACTAGACCTGGATTGCGCGCCGATCCGCAGGGGCCTCCGGGGGAGGGGCGGGTTCACAAGAGTGACATTGGAGCGGACCAATCCCCGTGGAGGCGCCGGCAAAGGGCCCAATCACAGGAGAGCCAGGGAGGATGGTGACAACCCAGGCGGCCGGGGACCCGCACCCCAGAGGCCCGCCTCCTGGACCCGCAGGGATCCTCGGCTGGCGGGGGCTGAGTCACGGAGGAGCGCAGGCCGGGCCGCGGACCCAGGGAGCAGCTGCCCCCGCGCGCAGGCACCGCCGGGGCTCACCGGGGCCGAGGCCGCAGGGACCAGCAGGAGCCGAGCCAGTGCTGCGCCGTGAACCGCCGCCGTTGTCACTCTGGACGCGGAAGTGCGCTTTCCTTGGTTTGCTTTAAATTAAGTGCTTGAAGTTCCTCGTTCTAGGTATTTATTTGGTCGAATTCAGCGGAATTTCCCCTCCCTGTCCCAGCGCGGCGGTGCAGCCCCAGCCTCCAGGAGCACTTGCTGCCCCGAGGCGCCGCTGGCGCAGGGCAGCCCCTCAAGGGAGACAGCCCCCGAGACTCCGCGCCCCGAAAATGGTCAGACCCGCGCCTAGCCTGGCAGGAAGACTGTGACCGTGGGGTGAGTTAAATAAATAAATAAACCCTTTCGATAGGGAGGTGTTATTTAAAGGCCCCTTCCTGTTCACGGTTCACAAGCCCCAAAATAACAATAACAAATAGTTGCGCAGTTGTCGTGTCCCCAGAGTAACCTCCCTGTTTCCTTTATGAAAACCGGCTGGGTTTACAATGTGGGGGTTGTAGTGTGATCGTTGCACAGCCAAAATCGGAGACAACTTATTAAGACTATTTTAAAGAGCCATCTTAAAGGCAGATTGAGTCCTAAAAGATCCCAGTCTTTAAAATGGGAAGCATGACCATCTCAGGTTTCCTGAGTTCTCTGTTCCGAACTAAAAGTTCTTAGGACGGGCTTAATGCTTTCTGTTCCCTAGTTTGCTTGTTTACGCCACAAAATTCCTCCAACTTCCTCATCGTGAAAATCTAGCCTCTCAGATAAGAGTGTAAATGATTCTCTCTCCCCTTTTCGTTTTTAATAGAATTCCAGCCACCTACCCAAGCAACATGCAGATTTTATTTGTGGAGCCTGCCATTTGCCTCAGTGCATTTGCCATGTCTTTGGCTGCTCCACTGACAACACAATATGTGTACCGGAGAATATGGGAGGAAACAGGCAACTACAGTATTGCACCGGATAGCAATATTTCTGAGTGTGCAAAAAACAAAAGCAGCCCGATTTTTGCGTTTCAGGAGGTAAGAAATTTAAATATCCCTAAAATGTAATGAGAAGGGAATGTACAACGGGTTTTAAATGACAGAGGACATGGCACTCATCGTACCTGTATCTCTCTTGAGTCACCCTGTTAGAACCCCCGAGTCCCAAACCAAGAGACTTTGTTCAGTTCTCATTCTGTCTGAAGCCTCCTGACACCTCTAATCTGCCTCTTCTACTTAAAACCCCTTCGTCTTCTGTGACACTGGCTCTTCGCCTTTCTCTGAGAAGATCGCAGCCCAGTCTCATCTCCTCTGTGGCTATCTCCTTCCTCCTTCCCCCACAAAAGGCCTGAAAGTTGGACCAGAGCAGGCTGGAGTGAGTACTAGGTGGACGGGGACAGGGTGAGATGGTTCCTGCCTTTCCCTTGCCGGCTGCCTCCCCACCCCCTTCCACTGCCCATGCGTGACCCAGTTTTCAGTGACCTCGGAAAATAGCCTATCCCTGAAGACTGGGCCCTGGCGCCAGGGCCTGTCATGGGGTGGGGGTGGCATTTGTCATCCATCGTTTGATGTTATCAAATCAGCTTTGACCAGGTGCTGAGGAGCAGCTGTGTGAGGAAAGCGGGGGTGGACAGCTCTCATTTTTGCTCTGAGGACACGGAAAATGTTCAGCCAGATATTACAGAGCCTTTCCTTCTCCCTTCCTGCCTCGTCCCCCAGTTTTTCTTTTGTTGAAAACAGGAGCTACATTACCAGTCCCCTGTTCCCTTAGGCAGGTTTTAACAGAGTCTACCAAAGCAGAGGCGAGAGCGTCCACACTGGGACATTTCCCCCCAACAATGCCTCATAGGCAAACCACACTTATGACCTTTGAACTCTTCCCCTTGGGCATATTTTGTGATGGTAAATACCAAAAAGCAGCTGCTGCTGCTTCCCCAAAAGATGAAGAGAGTTTAAGGGGCTCTCAGTCACCTGCGTCCATGGAGAAAAGAACAGACTACTTCTCAGCAGCCATGCAGATGTCATGGTTCTGCCTACAGAGAGGTCATAAAGATAGAAGGGCCAAGGGTCTCTCCTCTTGGTTTTGCCTCCTTCAGGAATGTTTCCTATCACATGTATGTCATTCCCAGGGAGTGAGAAGGTTCCAGAGGCTCATCAGTCTCTCATTTGATTCTGTGCATTCCTGCCCCAGGCTCCTGAGAGCAGTGGGAGGGACAGAGGAGGAGAGGACTCGAGTGCCTGGAAAAGTTGGCTGCCCTCGCCCTCTGCAGTGAGGGGAGACAGGCCTTGGTCCAGCCACCTTGGTGACCTCTGTGATGTGCAGGTGATGAGTACTGGTCCCTCCTCCAGCCTGACCCAGCTGCTGAGAGCCCCCCTCCCTGCCCTCACCCAGAGCAGTGGTCTCATTTTGAAAATTTTTGCCAAATTTTTAATTGACTGACTATTGTTTCATTGGATTAATATCAAGAAAACATACTCCCCTAGATCCTTTGTCTTAAAGTTGGTGCTCGAGAGCTTCAGGGGCTTTTTCTCAGACTGGGGAACTAAAAACCACCCCACCCACAACAGGGGCAGCCACGGCGGCCCACTCACCCGTGCCCCTAGGACAGTGACCACTTCCTTCTGGTCCCTTCCCTGGATCCTGTCCCTGCTCAGCTTCTCAGAGAATATTCTCCCCCCTTTAAACCCAAGAACAAATGCTCTCTGTTCTCTGAGCTTCCATCTCAATTCCCAGCTCTCCTGGATGGGTTCTGGCCAAAACAAGTACACACATTTACATACGTACTGCAATGCAAGATGGTGTTATGCATGTCAGGGTAAACAAACTGAGAAATTTCACTTATATTTAACATTTTGAAAGTCTATTTGGATGAAAGTCTTATTTTTCAACCCATTGGGGGTTAAGCTATATGTAATATATATTCATTTAAATATTTATCTAACCTATTTTTCAAATCTTCATGTTTTCTGAGCCCTGTGCCTATAAGATGCACCTACATACTTCTCTTGGGCGATGAGATTAATCTCTAAAAGGCCTCTCAAACTGGCGAAGCTGTGGAAGGAAACTCTTGGCTGAGGGGGGAGACGTAGGGATTCTAGGACATCTGTTGACGATTGTGGAGGAAGGGATTTTTGAAGCCCCTTACTGTTCCCTCAGTCCCTTGTAAGTGACTGGTTTTGAAGTGTTACATTGGCCACTGTGGCCTGTTCTCTTCAGGCAGCTTTCAAGGTCGGCACTCTGCTATGGAGGGGGCAGCTTAGGGTCACCCAACAGATCACAAAGTTGTTCTTGCTCAGGAACTTATATATAAACCTTTTAATAACTGACACAATCCCTTGTAACCAGCAGATAAAGGATACTTTCTACTCAATTGGAATATACACATTGTAGCCTATGAAATTGTGACTTCTTTAAAATTCCTAATACCTTCCCTTCATCTATCCCTGACTCAGTATGTTGTCATTCTGTTCAAGCCTATAGAGGAAATAGCATGTTTTTAGTCTCATATCTCCCACCTACCCTTATATAACACAGTAACTATAATTCTTCAGAGTTGAGAATATACAGATATACAAGAATTTCTTATGTCTCAACACTGATTTATGATTGAAATGTGCTTTGAATTTGTCTTTGTTAAAATCTGTCTTTTCAAAACAAAGTTCCAGGTGAGGGGAGTGGTCTGTGCAAAAGATTGGGTTGGGATGGTAGTAGGCAGAAAGGAGAAGACGGGACCTGGGGGGAAGCACTGAAGTGGGAGGAGGAACCCCAAACTAGGACATCTCATTGAGAAGCTCATTAAAAGATAACTGTTTCATGTACTTGTTTCTTCAGTAAATATTTACTTATGGCTTCTATATCTGTAGGAGATATAAAATGTGCTCAGGAGATCCGATCAAGTAGAAAAGGAACAGCCGAAACTGACTAAGCACTGACTACGCACCAGGGCCCTGCGCAGAGCACCTTATGTTACCTCCAGTTTAAGTGTCCTGACAGCCTGTAAGATAGGGACTGCTGTCATCCCCTCTTTTCAGATGAAGAAGCTATAGCGATGAGCCTGCAAGTTACAGAGCCTGTTTTAGGTGATGATTCGATCATTCAATCGGTCAATCTACTGAGCAGCTACCCTGGAAGCACTGTTCTTGGAGCTGGCGACACTGTGGTGAAGGAGATAAGGTTCCAACCCCCAGAGCTTAGGTCGTAGTAGAGAAGTCATGCAATGTACGGGTCAATTAAAATATCACGTCCTAACTGACCGCACTTCAATTAAAAAAAGAGAAAGAGAGAGAGAGAAATGTATTATCATGTCCTGTCGAGGAGTAGTGAGTCCCTAAGGAAAAACACGCAGGACGAGGGGCTAGAGCACTGGGTCGGGGGCAGTGGGACTGCTTTGGATTGAGTGATGGTCATGGAGGCCCCCTCTAAGGAGGTGACTTTGAACTGAGGACGTGGGCTGTGTGATAGACAGTCAGGAGAAACAGCGAGCACAGAATCAGAAGGAGCGTGGAGGTCTGAGGAAGGGCGAGGAGTCTGGATTCATTCCAGCGTAAGGAAAGCCACTGGGGATTTTGAGCAGAGGAGCGACCTGAGCTGATGTGTGTTTTTAAAGATCACTGGAATTGCTGTGTACAGAACTGACAGGATTTGAATCCAGATTCGTCTGACTCCAGAGCTCAAGCTCAGTACAAAAAAGTGCAGTCAGGGAATGGTAACGTCGTATGAGAAGCTTCAGAGGCAGGAGCGATTACATCTGTTAGGGAATTTCAAGGAAATCCAAGTGGGACTTGACCACGGACTGTGCCTGGAACACAGACCGTATCTGGGGAGCGAGTGGGAATAATGCTGAAGAGTGAGCTCGGGCCCCATCTTGGGCCTTAAACACGAGACTGCAGAGCATGGACTTTCTCTGGCAGGCAGTGGGGAGAGACTGCAACAGGGGAAAGACATAGTGGGCCTTGCAAGATGCTCCCAGCTTTAGAGTATGATCGGCCAAGTGGTAAGACTGGCTTTATACTCTGAACTGAACAATGAGCCCAGTTAGATGCCAGAGTGGTCCAGGTGAGAACCAGTGGGAGCTGTCCTTCAAGTGGCAACTAAGGACCATCAAGAAGGTAAAGGGCGTGAGAAACGCTGGGGTTACAGGAGAGACCGTGCAGGGGGCCATGGACGAAGGGAAAGGCTAGAAGCAAAGACAACTGAAGTTTTGAGTCTGAGTGACTAGAACATTTCCTGGCAACAGGGAATTGTTTGAGTTATATAAATACACAAAAATAAAAATAGGCTCACTATTTTAAATAACTATTAATTCATTATTTGATATTTTGCGGTTCATCAGGTTTTTAGGGTGCTTCCTAAATATTACACGAATAAATCTTTTTTAAAAATGAGTTTAGTAATCCCTGTCATAAAAACAGCACATATGCTTTATATAAAGTTTGGAAAATACAAGGGAAGTGGCAAGAAGAAAATGCTTTTAAATCACCCCAAACACCTCCCATCAAATAACTAGTGTAATGATGGTTACATCTGCCGAACTGTGTGGACGCCGTTGTTTTGGTCCCTAGGGAAACTGAGTGTCTCTCACTCCTTAGTTCATGGCACGCCACCATCTTTAGTCAATTAGTCAGTTCAAAGCTCCTCTTTGGGTTTTATCTTTTTTTTGGTTTCATCTTAATTTTTAGCAAATAAAGGAATAAGTTTCTCCCTAATCCATCTTTGGAGATACATGTAAAAAGGGCAACCGGCTCTTCCAAAATAAAGGTCTGTCAACTATGACATTTACATGTGATATAATTCCCCTTGCGAGTAGACAGAAAGGTGTATCATGAGAAGGGGTATTATTGCTCTTGCTTTAGAACAGTGGTCATGATCTCTTAGTGCTAACTGTTCACAGAAGAAAGAGAAGTCATTACATTGCCAGTCCCCGAGGCATTGGGTTCTGTGGATGCTCTGTGTAAGACAGACATACACCAATACACACATTTTTCTTTTAATGGATTAATGCCCCTCCATGGTACTTGAATATCATGACTGAGCATTGATGATTATAGCACCTCTTGATATTTGCTTTGTGAACTGGATGAAGACTGAAGCTGTATCAGCCCATGCACCAGAGATTCCCCATCCCTGACCTACTGGCTGTATCAAGACAAGCATGCACCATGGTATTTTTAGGCACATTGTGTAAGCCTCTGTAAACACTTTGTCTTTTTTTTTTTTATCTCTTTGCAGGAAGTTCAGAAAAAAGTGTCTCTTTTTAATCTTCAGATGGACATGAGTGGGTTAATTCCTGGTCTTGTGTCTACATTCATTCTTCTGTCTCACAGTGACCGGCGAGGACGAAAATTCCCTTTGGTTCTGTCTTCTGTGGGTGTGCTTGTAACCAGTGTTTGGCTCTGTCTGCTCTCCTATTTTGCTTTTCCATACCAGCTTTTGATTGCATCTACTTTTATTGGCGCACTTTGTGGCAATTCCACCACATTTTTGGGAGCCTCTTTTGCCTACATAGTTGATCAATGTAAAGAACAGAAACAAAGAACAATTCGAATAGCTGTAATTGACTTCCTGCTTGGAATCGTCACTGGATTAACAGCATTGTCTTCTGGCTATTTTATTAGAGAACTAGGTTTTGTGTGGTCATTTTTAATGATTGCTGTGGCTCTTACTGTTAACTTGCTTTATATTTTATTTTTCCTTGATGATTCAATGAAACAGTCTTCCTCTCAGAATGTTTCTATATCATGCACTGAAGGCTTTAAAAACCTATTTTACCAAACTTACATGCTTTTTAAAAATGCTTCTGGGGAGCAACGGTCTTTGCTCTGTTTGTTGATTTTTACGATGATCACTTATTTTTTCGTGATAATCGGCATTTCCCCCATTTTTATTCTTTATGAATTGAATTCTCCACTCTGCTGGGATGAAGTTTTAATAGGTTATGGATCAGCTTTGGGCAGTATCTCTTTTTTGAGCAGCTTCCTAGGAATATGGCTTTTTTCTTACTGCATGGAAGACATTCACATGACTTTCATTGGAATTTTTACCACCATGGTGGGAATGGCTATGACTGCTTTTGCCAGAACAACACTGATGATGTTTTTAGGTGAGTTACAAATGCAGCCTAAAAGTAAAGGGGTATTTGATATTTATATAAAATGGATTTAGTCTGTTGGGTGAGAAACTAATATGAAATTCTTGATTTAATACATTCTAGTTCAATTAAAGGTACTTTGTTAAAAGCTAGTTTGACAGAAGCTAAAAATCAGTTTACTTAAAAAAAAAAAGTAATTCACTAAATAACCACAATTTTCCAAATTTGTGTATTTGCCAAAAATTGTCTTGAGGAACATTCTTCATGTGAATCAGTTCTGTAATATAGCTTTCACTAACTTAAATATTTCTTAAAATGCTGATAAGAAGGCTACTTTACATAAAAAATTTTAAAGGCAATTATGTAAAGTAACTCAAAAGATTTATAAGGAAAATATTTATTGACTATATTCAAGAAGATTTTGCAAATTGATCTTTCAGCAGATTGGCCATTTCATGAATTGGCTTTTGATGAATCACTTTTTGGTAAACTGACTGCCTCCTTAACTGCCTGCCTCATAAGTGGCTTTTGCAGGGCTTAAGCGGAATACTGCATTTGAAAGGGTTAAGGGATCTGTAACCCTGTAAGGGATCTGGAGCCTCAGGAAAGGTCCGGTTTAGTTTTTTCTTATTTTTTCTACAAAGGCAATATTAATCCTTGCTACCTTGCAGGGAAGCAGGATGAGCAAACAGAATTGGGCTTAATTTCTGTCTATAGTACTAGGTGATCTTGGGCAAGTTACTTAACTACTCTGAGCCCTTATTTTTCATCTATAAAATGGGCGTAGTAGTACTTAATTCAGAGGGTTATAATGAATATCAGAGGAGATAACTGTAAATCACTTAGCACAGTTCCGAGTATTCAGTAAATGCCATGTAATCCCCCCCATCTCCCTTGGAGCTGCCAAGGCCAAGTACGTTAACGTATGTGAAAACACACAAAACTTCAAAGTGATCTGCAAATGTAATATCTTACTATCTTGTCATATAACTAAAAATGCTACTGACTATTAAGAATCATAATTTAAGAGCAGAGGAGATTTGTGTTCATGAAATTATTCAGCCACAGAGATGAATAAGCAAGCAGATAAGGAACCAACTTATCAATATAATAAAAGAATGCTAACACTAAGAATGCCAAGTCTGAAAGTGCAAAAATATAAAGTAGAAAATGAATTAATAGTCTCAACCTGCTAAACACGAGGCTGCTATTATAACCAGGGAAGTCGATGGATTTCAGTTAGCAGGTCATACAGCTCTGGACTACAACTTGCATGAGCTCTTGCTCTCTGCACTGGGATAAGAATTTGAGAGGAAACTAACCTTAAACTGACCTGTCTATAGTCTATCTTAATTCATCACACAGAATTCTACCGTTAAGTAACTCAGCCATTAGATGCAATGAGTGATGCTTATAGGAAATGCAGTATTTAGAGAGAAAAGTATTTCGCCTTTGAAACGGACCCGTACTTTTCCGATTCAGCCAGTAATTTCCGACTGTTCCCCTCCCAGTCAGGCTGCCGTTCCTTTTCACTGTCGTGCCGCTCTCTGTTCTACGGTCCATGATGACAAAAGTGGTGCGTCCTACTGAGCAAGGTGAGTGTCATCTGCTTAAGGAATGGAATAAATCTGTGATCCGTACCAACTCGCATCTGTGTGCCATCCGTGTTTGACTCTTCAGAATATTCTACACCCCTTTTCCTGCTCAGAACTCCTTTTGAATTAAGTGGTAAAGTCTGCATTAGGGAAAGGCGTATATTCAGGCAAGGGGACCCCTGCCCAGGGCCTCATGCTTTAGAGGGCTTCCTCTGGACATGACCCTTTCTGAGCAGAATGGAGCAGGGGGTAGCACACAATGTGGGTGGGCTGCAGCCTGCAGGATGGGGACCAGGGGGTGACAGCTGGCTTTCTCAGGGCTGTCATGTTCCTACAGAGAACTCTAAAAAGTCTGAGAATTCTAAGTTTGTGTCTGACCTTCCAAAGCATTAGAAAGGTATATCTCTCAGAGTCGGGACATAGACCATATCTCAGTTAACTGTTATTCAGAGTTATAATTTTTAAGTACTTAGAGTATAATTTGTAGGCCTCTAATTATATCCTTACACTGGACCTCACAAACGACAGAGCTGGGCCTGAGTCAGAGCCCTAACCAAAACAGGATCCCCTGAGCTGCTTCAATCGAGAGACTTGAATGGAGGGCAGCACAGAGGAGAGGATGGCCCAACAGGGAGGGAGCAGAGAAGAAACTAGCAGGGAGGTCCCCGTCGTGTAACCCGAGGGGTCAGCCTCCCAAGCACAGAGCAGGACACAGAAGAGCCAACGGCTGATGGGGCGGGCAGAGAACAACCAGTACAGACGGAAACCAGTAGTAAGGCCTCCAGTTAGAACTAGTCATCAGCTGCACGTCAGGCACATGGGGTTGTCTTCCTTTGCTTTGATCATATGAATATTATTAGAACCTTGGAGCTTTCTTTTGTTCCGTGTCTTAGCCTGATGCAAATGTTCATACTAATTGTTTATGAATAATTCATAATTATGCTTTTGTATTTCTGGCACTTTAATAAACACTAGGGAAGACTACATAATGCAATACATTTTAAAAACAGTATTTCTTGATTCTTTTCCACTCATAAGATGCAGCTGTATATTCACACAGCTGTTCATAGACTGTGTGATGAAGATTAACTGGAAAACCACTTAAGAATATAAAAAATAGTATGGAAAAATCTACCTGCTTCCTCGGATCATGCAGTGGTCTCTTAGATATGACACTAAAACTACAACAACAAAAGAAAAAGTACATAAATTGGACTTTATCCAAATTAAAAAATGTTAGACTTCAAAAGACACCATCAAGGAAGTGAAAAGACAGTCCAGAGAATGGGAGAATATATTTGCAAATCATATGTCTGATAAGGAATGTGTATCCAAAATATATAAGAACTATTAAAAGTCAACAGTAAAAAAGACAACCAAATTAAAAAATGAACAAAGGATTTGAATGACATCTCTCCAAAGATGTACAAATGGCCAACAAGCACATGAGAAAATAGGGAAATGCAAATTAAAACTACAACGAGACCCACTAAGGGCTGAATGAAAGAGACAGACCATACGAAGTGTTGGTGAGGATGTGGAGAAACTGGAACCCTCATACACTGCAGTGGGATTGTAAAATAATGCAGCCATTTCACAAAACAGTTTGGTAACACCTCAGAAAATTAAACAGAGTTACCTGGTGACTTGGCAAGTTCCACTTATAGGTATATACCAAAGAGAAATGAAAACCCATGTCCACACAAAATCTTGTACACAGATATTCCTAGCAGCATTATTTATAACAGCCAAAAAGTATAAACAATGCAAATGTCCGTGAACTGATGAACAGATAAACAAAATGAGCTATGTCTGTCCACTGGAATATGATTTCGCAATAAAAAGAAATGAAGTACTGATAAACCCTACAACAGGGATGAACCTTGAAATCATTAGGCTAGATGAATGAAGCTAGTCACAGAAGGCCACATATTATCATACAAATATGATTCCATTTATACAAAATGTCCAGAAAAGGCAAATCCATACAGACAGAAATTGGATTAGTGTTTGTCAGGGGCTGGGCAGAAGGGGAGTGAGTGCTAATGGGCACAGAGTTTCTGGGTGATGAAAATCTTCTAAAATTAGACAGTGATGATGGCTGCCCAACTCTGAACACAGAAAGAACCACTGAACTGTACAATTTAAAAGGGTGAGTTTTATGGTATGTAAATTCTATCTCAATAAAGCTATTCAGGGAAAAAAGAAAAATCTACCTGCTTTTCCTTAGAGCTAAAACAGACTTGTCAGAATGTATCATTTATTTTTATTTATATTTGGTTTAGTTTAGTTTCTCTATAAAGGCTTTCTTAAAAGTCATTTATTTCATACTGTTAAATACAGTGACATTTAAAAATGTTTAGTTTACAGTTCGGCATTTCTTATTCTGAACTGCGGTAACTGGACTGTGATCCCATTGCTCTAGTATAGCTCACTCCCTTTGTTCTTAACTGCAAATGAAGAAATCCTTTTGATGGTATTAAAATTCACATAACTGAATATATTTCCATTTATCATTTTTTTAAATTTTGTTTTTCATTTTTCTTTTTTAATTTTGGGGGGGTATTTAGATTTATTTATTAATGGAGGTACTGGGGATTGAACCCAGGACCTCGTGCATGTTAAGCACGCAGTCTACCACTGAGCTGTACCCTCCCCTCATCGTTATTTTTTTAATGGATAATTTTTGTGACACATTAGGTACCTTAAAATAATCAGAGGAGAAAGGAAATGCTACAGAGGTCTTCAGATGCCTCCCCGTCTCCTCTCTCCGAAAGGGGAGTAAAGTGACTTGGCAATTATTTTGAAATCTCTGTGCTCCACACAGCTGTGTAACTCTTGGCCAGGGCCACCCCAGACTTCCTCTTGGCTCATCATCACCTGTGTAGTCCTTGAGATTATAAACTGAAACACAGTAAAAACAGACTTGAGTCCTGAGGTCTGTTGGATTTTTTTAAAGTTTAGAAAATAAACTACACTGCACTTGTATTTATTCCAATCTATCCCCAGCAACTATTAAACCAGTTGCCTTGCTCAGAGGAGTTCAGCAGCAAGCTGGAGTGACTTCATAGGAGTAGGGTTATTTGTGTCAGAGCACAGCACTGCCCCACCGAGTTCCCGACAAGGAAGGACGCAAGCCGTCAGGTAACAGGATTAGTACTGCGCAGTCTGTCCTCCGTGACCCTGTCCCTGGCTGCAGCAAGGGGTCAGAAATAAAATGAAATGATTATGTTGTTAGACAAGTAAGAGGACACCTTCCCAATTAAACTGACTTACTGTATCATCATAAATCATGGAGGCAGGAAGTCCATACACTACTTGATGATTGATAACTGTGTCCTTGAATGAAGCTTTTATTCATTCATTTGACACACAGATATTAAATGTCTACTATGTGCCAGCACAACTAGGCCCTGGGGACACAGCCGTGAACAAAGCAGATATGTACTTGGCATTGACAGAACTTTCATTCCAGTCAAAAGAAGACACGTTAATGATAACCCAGTATTCTGCAGAGAGATGTGTGTTTTATGAACATGTGTCCTGCTGCTCAATGAAGCATTTGAAGCAATGTGAAGAATACATATAACAGAGTGAAAGTTTAAATAGGTAAAAATCAATACAGTCTAAAAGGTCAAGGGCATGGGGAAGATCAGAGCATAGACATGAAAACCACAACCTAGTTATGAAGGTGACCAAGCTTGCCTTCTCCTTCCTACCAGCCCAATCACAGAATTTACATGATCTGCAGTGTCTGTAAAAAAAAGTGCATTACAGTTCATCCCGGAGAAGTACACTCGGCAAAGCAGGGAACAGGCCCCAGGGCTTACAGACAGTCTGCGGAAACCACTGCAGGAGCCTCATAGAGCTGAAACCAGCCGGCACGTTTTTAGTGATGCAAAGTTTGAAAAGGGGGAAGAAAATTACATCAAAATGACCGGCGAGCTTTTGGAGGTTTAAGTCTTCAGTCAATATGGTCTTAGATTCTAGACAAAACTAAAAACTGTAGAATAATGACTATTCCCCTGGTTGTGAGCCTGCACTGACCACGCAGCCATTTCGGGCTGCCTGGTCAATGCCCCAAGGCCTGCCCTTTCCCACACCCGATGTGGGGCCAGCAGGAAGGACCGCGGACTCCCTCAGAGGGGAGGCGTTGTAGGCAGGTCAGGCAGAAAAAGACGTTTTAAAGAATTACTTAACGTCAAACCATGGCATAATCTTCACTGGAGCACTGGTAGTTACCTACCTAGTTACTTGATGAGTCAAACTTGCAGGAATCTTGTGATGACTGAATTTTTTGTCACTTTGGAAGAGGGATCAAATTCGAACTGCAGGACGTATGATACAATCATCTCTCTTGGCCTGCACCTGTCACTCTTGTTAGATCTGACTTTACGTTTCAAAAGGCCCCTGATGGGACATTGCTCACGGGGAGCCATCCTGCCCTTACAGTGTGTGTCACAGACTAGCACAGGGACCGAGAGGGGACGGTGGCCCCTGGAGCCTCAGGAGCGTTGTGGCTGCGTCTGAGGCTGTGGCAGGGAGGGAAGACATGGCAGGGAGGGGAGATGTGGCAGATTTCACTCGGCTCAGCATCTGGTACCTCTTAGCTTTGCCCTGTTGACACTGGAACTTCGGTGTTTCCAACTCCTCTCACCTCAAGTCCGAGAAGAAGTCCTGACCTCAGTTTCTTCACCCACAAAATGGGTTGCTGAGTTCTCAGGGATTTGAGGGAATAGCTTTCCCTCACAAGCAGCGCCCCTGTGTTTGCACTGTGAGTAAGTTTGCTCCATTATCTGTGTTTGCTGTTGTGCAACTCAGCCTGTTCTTTCTCCCTCCACACCCCAACCCCAACAGGTACCCTGTTTGCTTGTATTGCCTTCTTAGAAACACTTGGCGGAGTCACTGCAGTTTCTACTTTCAATGGAATTTATTCAGCCACCGTGGCCTGGCACAAAGGTTTCGTCTTTCTGCTCTCCGCCGTTCTATTACTAATCCCAGCCATCAGTCTATGGTATGTAATTATTTTTCATCCTTTTATCAAAGGAGAGATGGATTGAGTGAATTCCCTGAACTTGCCAGTACAATTACATAGATCTGTTGAAGTTTTGCCTCCGAATGTACTTTTCTCAAGAACTTTTAGATGTGAAGACATCTGTCAATAATTTTGGAGACTTAGGAAGAAAGAGACAGTGACGTGACCAGCCAGAACTAGAAGACAGACTAGGCTAACCTCTGAGAAGCTACCTCATCTTTAAATATGAACAACTGATGAAATTAGCAGCTAAGAAAAAAATACATATATATTCGAACTATGATATCCTAGAGTGTAATATTCCCTGAAAGTCAAAGATCAGTACAGGAAGATATATCTTTTTCCCTATATATCAGATATATATTTATACTGTGTGTTTTCCTATCCTCAACATAATTTCAGTAGATCAGGAAGATACACTTTAATATAGATTAAATGACAAGAGCAGAGGGCATACACCGAATATTAAGAATTTTCTTTCCAGAGAGTTGGCTTTTTTTTAATGACTTCCTTTTAAATGTAAATATCCAAATAAATACAAAGTACAAAATTCTATTTGTGAATAGTACATAGAGTAAAAAGATAAGAGGCATAAACTTATGAGAAATATGTATTTCCCCATCTGCCTTTTAATTTAACAAAAAGTGGAAGCCAGTAGAGAAGCAGTTGTGAAGACGCACAAGCAAGTGTATCTGACAGACTCTCTGGGGCCCGGCGCTGAGTGAGAGCTCACCGGTCTGCCTCTGCCGGGCTCTGTCCGGCCCCCATGGCTGCCGCCCAGCACGTGATGGGGGCGGACGGAAGGTGGGGCACGGCGGTCTGGCACCTGCTCTCCCCAGGCAGTAGGGGCCGTGGCTGCGCGGGAGGGAGAACGGCGCCTATCTGCACCGGCGTTAAACTCCCCCGCAGCTGAGAACTCCCTAAGGGGCGGGCCCACGTCCTATTCAGAGTGGGACCTCAGCACACGGGGTCTCGTGGAACACTGATCTGCCTAAGGCGGGCTACAGTAGTAGTTAGGGCTCCTCTGTGGCTGTGCTATTTTTACTCAGTATCTTTTCAAAAAGACTATTCACTGATGGCACTGGCAAAATTAAACTCCATGCTGTGCTAGTGAGCACACGATGAAACCGTCAACCCTGTACCTTGCTGATACTGGTGTCATCAGCATGATCATTTTTGGAAAGCAATTCATGAACGTGTATCAGAAGTTTCAAAAAAAAAGTTCATAGTATTTGAACCAGTGATTCCATTTAGAAACTTACCCTGCGGAAATGGTCAGAAATATCATTTATATTTTAAGAAGTTCATTATGGCAAAAAAAACAAAAAACAAAAAAACTGTCATGACCAAAATGGCCAACGACAGGAAATGGTTAAAAAAAAAGGATGGTGCATACGTATCATGAAAAATGACTTTAATAAGAATTGCATTCTTATTAAAGGAGGTATAAGGATGGGTTATTTTAGTTTTATTCTTCATGTATTTGTAAATATTCTGTTATGAACACATATGACTTTTAATAACTAGAAAAATTAGCACAGAGGGCTAAAAGGTCATTATCCTTTTAATAATGCTTCTAATGTAAATGTAGGTGTCTTCTGAGATTTTTTTAGCCCTACATTATTCAATATTTTTAAAATTAAAATTACATGCTATTTTAATTCTTTCCAGATGTCTTCTTGTCCTAGTTTCAGTTATAAGTATTAAACATGAACTTCAGTAATAGCTTTAGCTGTAACTATTTTGTGTGGCCTGCACAGAGTAGACAGTGGGACAGATGGACATCTTAGGAATCTGGAAGAGAAAGAACTCATGTAGATTTTATTTTCAGAGAGCTATGCGTTAAGAAGTCTGTTGATTCAAAATATCAGTATGTTCCTCCGTTGCATAATTTATTAAAAGCCATGTAATGAGGGAAAAGATGGAACACAGATTATTTATGTATGGCCTTCATCGCAGTTTGTTAATGTCTCATTTGCTCTGGCAGTGCCGTCAAGTGCATCAGCAGGAACGCGGGAAGCCACGTCCTCCTCGTACAAGAAGAACCCAGCGAAGACACTTCAGACAGATGATTAGTTGTGATTCAAAAAAACCCAAATGCACATACCATACACTCTTACTTCTGAAGAATATAAACTAGCTCCACAATCAATACTTCATGAATAATCAATGCTACAAGTCCTTTCTTCTAAGCAGTCAGAGAAATAGTTCCTGGCTCTAGCTTCTTGGAGTACCATGCACTTTGAGCACTTTATGAAGATCATGTGATATATTTCCAACACAGAGAACAAATCTCAAGACACTTACCACTTTGGGACTTAAAAGAAAACAAATTTATTGGTATAAGGCTGGACTAAGAAACTTGATACAATCAAAAGTGATAATCTCCCTGATAAACTCCAGGAGATTGAGATTGTTTGCTTCAGTTTCTTCATCTGCAAAATGGGTTTCTGACCTCTCTCAAGGACTTTAAAGGCATAACTGTTGAAAATTATGATGACTCATTCACTGATAGGAAAAATGATAGAAGTTTTGAATATTTACAATATAGTTTTACCTCTGCTTGGGTAATGCTTTGTTTTATAGAGCCCGCCAAAGTGCTGGTGACAGTCAAAGCTTTCAGTAGATGCAAAAATCTTCAAAAGGGAAGCACTTGAAAGAATCCATGTTTTTACTTTTCCTAGTATGTTTCATCAGTGACACGAATGATAATATTTCTATAAGTAAAACAGAGGTGACTGGAAAAAAAGATAAGTAGTTTCTAAAGAAATTTAAAAACCAAGTAAAAAGCCAATCATGATGTTAAGTGATTAGTATTTACAGAGCCAGTATTCATTCCTTCTTTCAAAAGATATCCATTTCTTCCTGCCTTACACTCACCCTGGGACCGCCAGGGTCCCTGAAAACACCGCATCTTCTCCGGCCTCCTGTCTTAGCACACAGTGTTCCATTTGGCCTTCCTTCCCACCCCCCACCACAAACGTTCAAGTCTCAGCCAAAGCATAGCTTCTGCTTCCCCTGTGTGGCTTTCCACCCGCAGGCCAGCCACCGCGCTCTGTGCGTGCTTCCATCCTAGCGTTTTCCCTTGTCTTGTAAAGTCTGTCTCCCCTACTTGACAATGGGCACCTTGAGGACAGGAACAATCTTCAATTCCTCAATAAATGTTGAACTAAATGACTACAAAATTGTGTTTGCACTTGTAAAAATCATTTAAAGTTATATATTTAATGCATTATGAGAGTAACCAATGATACCATGCCATAGTCATTAAGCCAGCCTTGCAAGTAAACTGAAACCTAGTGCTAGCCCATATGCATTATAAATTGGTTTATAGTATTTTCACAGGTCCTTCAATATCTCCCATCTTCGAAGTTTCCATATGTAATAACACAAATGTCTTGAAGTACACCTACATGATTAACTCCTCTGTAATCTCTTAAAAGTAGAGTCTTCTGTTTCATAGCACTGCTTCCAGCTTTTCCTGTAGGGTAATCAGTGACTGCTTGACTAGCAAGTGGCACTCATAACTTAAAATACCAGAAATTCTTATTTCTAAGACCATTCCTTTTAGGTTTGGCTAATGTCTTATGGCTATTCTTAGATTGACTGATTCACTTTTGTTTTACTTTCTGTTAATGCTCTTCCCAAATGAAAAAAAAAGTACTTTACAGTTTACGAAATGCTTTCCATATCAACTTATTTTATCCTCTTAATAATCTTGCAAAGTAGATTTTCATTTTCCCCATTTTATAGACAAGAGAGGCAAGGCTCAGATTTCACCTGACCGAGTTTATTTAGCTACCACTAGGAACAGTACTGGACAGAGGTGGATTTGGCAATGCTGACGTTCTTCACAGCTAGAGTGTACACGTGACAGATTATAAATCCAATGTCGAGAATTGTATCAGGTACAGTATGAAGGGTCCCCCCGCAAAAAACCCACATTAGCACTATCTGTACCCAACTGCCTCCAAGATTGCTTTTTTCTGAGCTTAGAAAAGATCTATAACAAGGTCCCTTCCAGCTCAGCCTCCCCTGATTTTACACATTCCACCTGAACTGACGGGGACACTACTGGGATTGTTTAATACTGTGGGAGGATTAACAGACAGTTTCTCACCTGAGAAGAACCATTTGAGGTGCAGTAAGTATATCGGGATTGGACTGAGGTGGCCCAGGGCAGAAATATAGCACGAATGGGCTTAGCCATCTCCAAACCATCCATCCTAAGAGATGATTAGTAAATGTGACACTGAGGAGCCTAGAGAAGCATGCGAGCTGATGGGGTAATACAGTCAAGACACAAGGTGGGGTGGGAGGAGCTATGATCTAACCTCCTATAATGTGACCTGATTATCTAATTATCTCAACAAAGAATGTTAATGGAATGACTTGTTTCTAAGGAAGTCCATATAAAGAGGAACCAAAAGGAAAAACATGTTCCTTTTGAGACAGGAGGGAAGTGGGCAGGGCACAACCACTGAAGGAATGACTGGGCAGTTGAGGACAGGACAAACTGGTTAGAATAAAGACGGTGGAAGATTTGACTTCCAAAAGACCTTGAGCCTCATGGTGCACCCACAGGTGCCATGACAGTTCCTAGGCTGACCATAAAAGGTCAAAAAGGGGGCCGGGGGATGTTTCCTGGAAATCCTCATCTCTTCCCCAAAGTAGTTGGAATAATCCTCCTGCTTATTAGCATATGAAATTACCGAGCCCGTAAAAACTAACAACTCTGCCCTGGTGGCTGTGCTCTCTCTTGCTTTCTGAGATGGCGCGCGCTCTGTCTACGGAGCGCGTCTCTCTAAATAAACTTGCTTTCACTTTACTATGCCTGGCTCCTGAATTCCTTCCTGTGCGAGGCAAGAACCTATTCCCTGACAACACTTTCCCCCACCACTGTACAAGGGGGGTTAGCTATACCATATCTAATAGAGACACACTCTTTTCATCACTAGAGAGGGTGTATTTCTGTCTCTACAAGGCAGGACCACTCAGTAGGATCATCCAGAGCCTGCACTGCACAACTCAAGAAATCCCTCTTCTCCGCTGCTGTGCTCACTAAAGAATCCTCTGGTTACTCATTTCGTACCCAAAACTCTTGCTAATAAGAAGGTGCCCTAGGTTCAGTCTCTTTTAAAGACATGTCTGTATCTCAGAACCACCTGAGGAATTTTTTTAAATCTCTGGAGATTTCTAATTCAGTTGGTCTGGAGTAAGGTCTTAGAATCTCTTTTAATAACCTCCTTCAGGTGACTGACATACATTCAGATCTGGAAACTGCTGCCCTGGATGCGTGCTTCTCACCCCTAAACGCACAGGCAAACAACCAGTGTGGGGCAGGCAGGTAAACAAATGCAAGCACCGAGCCTCATCCGAGGCCCGCGGGTTCCAGTCTCAGCCGCCGGGCAGAACCGCCTGAGGGGCTTTACCGCTGCCAGCGCCCAGGGCGCAGCCCAGGACGACTAACTCAGAGCTGCCGGGAGTGGGAGGTGAACAGCAGCACTTTCCCCGATGTTCTTCAGGTGACTGCAGTACGCGGCCAGGGTCGAGCGTCACTGCTGTACCTCAGGGACCAGCAACTTCTGTGAATGGCCACAGAGGAAACTCGCTCGGCTTTGTGGGCTACACAGTCTGTCCCAGCTACTTACAGGCCTGCTGTCCTAGCACAGCGCACCCCAGACTATGCAGACGAGAATGGCGCGGCTGTGCTCCAACAAACAAAACCAGCAACAAGCTGGACTTCGCCCAGGGCAGCAGTCTGCCGGACCCTGCGCTCGGTGAGGACACACAGTATTTTGGTTTCTGCAGAGATAAGTCCCTCACTGTAATTACTGGGCTTTTAGGTTATAGTATACATAAAATAGTGTAAATATAAAACCCTTGGTAGAGCTCTTGGCTGAAAAAATCGGCCTCATTTGATTAGCGAGAGGCAGTCCCTTGAGTCAGACTGACTGTGGTTGCTCCGACAGAAGTTACTGAGGGATGACATGTAGCTGGGATGGGAGCAAGATAGGACGAAACATTACGGAAACGACAGGCCAGCCGAGAAACAAGCACCACTCGGAGGCTGCAGTACTCGGGTTTATTACGGCGGCGGATTCAGAGGGGCTTACGCTCTGAAGCTCTGAGTGCCTCTAGGACGTGTGCGTGAGGCTTTATGCAGCTGGTTACAAGCTCGGGGTCCATCAACCAACAGGCTGAGTACAGCTAGGCAATATCATAAAAGTGGAAGCAAAGGGTCGCTTGCAGAAACCCGGGGTCCATCAACCAACAGGCTGAGTACAGCTAGGCAATATCATAAAAGTGGAAGCAAAGGGTCGCTTGCAGAAACCCGAAACCAGTCTAGCAAGGTGAGACTTAAAATTCATGAGTTAGCCCAGCCCAGTCTTGGCCCAGCCCACCTCGTCCTTCTCATTCCCCCCTCTTGTTTTCACAGCCCAGGGTGGAGTAGGCACCATCCTCCATCTGGTGCAGAGGCTCATAATTGGAGGCTAACATCTGGAGCTTTACAGCCTCTATCTGTTCGCTGAAAAAACGGGTCAGGACGTTTAAGATGCAGGGCCCCAATAGTAGAGCTGCACAGATTAGGAGCAAGGGGCTTATGAATGGTGCCAGCCAGGAGGTCCAGCCTCAGGGGCCTATCCATGGGCCCTTGTCCAAAATATATTTTCTCCATTCCACCCGGTCCTGTAACTCTTGGACCATCCCCCTGACAATTCCTGATTGGTTGGCATAAAAACAGCACTCCTCATTTAGGAAGAGGCACAGTCCCCCCTCTCTGGCCGTGAGTAGGTCCAGACCCGTCCTGTTCTGTAAGACCACTTTGGTCAGGGAGTCAGTCTGACTCTGCAGAGCCCCCAGGGTTTCTGCCACGTGTTGGAAGTCCTGATTGAACTCCCTTGAGAGCTGACAACAGTAATAAGAGGATGAGGTTATGCCCCCAATTTCCATGCCCACCCCGGTCGCCACTCCCAGCCCCACAAGCAAAGGGGTTAGTTGTACAGCCCACTTTACTCTCCGCAGATGCTGGTGAGCTACAACCGAATAGGGAGACTCTGGTTGTTGGGCAAAATATCCACCTCGGGGGTGAGGTAGGCTGAAGCACACAGCCCTGTCCAATTTGCGGGGAGGCATCGGTAGGCAAACTCATCACACACGAAGTAAGTCCCGTTATTAGAACACCATCCCTGTGTGGGTTGGCAGCCCTGACCCATACAGTGAGGGGTTTTATGACATTGATTTATGGTCAGATAGCCTCCTAACAGATTGGTTCCATTGTTGAAATGACTTTCTGGTGCCTTGTAGGTGAGCTGCACCCAGTTTAGCCTGGGACTCCTAGCGGTGGAGGCGGCATCATCGTTAGTCGTGGTGAAAACCTTAGTGAGGTTTGCCAAAGGCAGAGCCAGGTGCTGGATGGAGCCAAGAAGCAGGCACAGCCAACAATCCTTTGCTAGGTTTGGATTGGAATGATTAATTCCATGGACCGCGGCCAACAGCCCATCTATTTGCGGAGCTAGATTCCGAGGCTCGGATAAAGGCGGGAGTCTTATGGGCTCCCGGCAAGGCAATCATTTCTGATGTAGCCTCTGGACCGCTTGTTGGACTGCTTGCCGGCGTGCCTGGTCTTGTACCCCTCCTCCATCACTCGTCCCATAATGTGTGTGCTTGGTCCAGCACACCGGCTTGCCTGGTGTGCCATAGCACTTGATGCCGGATACAGAGGAAGCCTTGACCGTACCAATCCAGTAGGGCCTGCCCCGATATGTGCACCCTGAAGCTGAGTCATTGACTCGGCTGATAGGTATAAGCTGTGAATCCAGGTTGGTATTTGGTTCAACGCAAGTGCATTGCAAAGCCCAAGGAAGTGAAGGCATTAGCGCCAGTAACATCAGCCTTATTATTATCTTAGACACACTGCCATCGTGAGAGAGCTAGTTATAACAAGGTATAAAAGGGCTGTCAAGATCTTTTGGCCTATGCTCCAGTCAGGTGGAGCAGTGCTGGACAGCCCCACCGCTAGTAGGCAGGCTAATATAGCAAGTAAGGAAAGGGGTAAGGGGGCACAAGAGGAGTACATTCAGTAGTTTTTCCTCAAGCTTCAGCCGTGCGTTGACTAGCCAGCCTCCGGGTGTGGCTAGAGTAGGGCTTGTAGTCTTTCTCCTGGGTTCTCCAGATCTTGAGC